CAGAAACGCAATCTTTTAGAATCGAAGGGTGAATTTTATTAATAGGGAAAAAACCGACTTGAAAATTGAATTTCTGGAGAATCCGTGCAATTTTATAGCTAACAGAAGGATAAAATGGAAGCACGACAAGGTCATTGATATTATTTCTAACAGTGGAATGTCTTCTTTGATGGGAATCTGAAAATTTTTTGACGGCTTTATCAATAATCACGGGAGAAAATCCACGGTCAATCGCAACTGCTCTCAAATAATTAAGTTCATTGGTAAGCAAAGATTCAGAGGAACAAACTTTTAGCGCGCGGAAAACAGAATAGTAAAAAGAAGCCATTTTTTGCTTAACAGGGTGGCATGACTTGGCATGGGGTGGTAAACAAACTGCAAAGGGTTTACGGTACACAGTGGTGCTAAAATCGGTTTCATTGCGGATTATAAGAATATCGAGGAAGGGGAGGGAATTGTTGGATTCAATTTCAAGAGTGAATTGGATGGCTGGATCAATTGAATTCATAATAGATAGAATCTCGGATAAATCCTCTTTATAACCATCAAAAAGTGCGAAAGTGTCGTCAACATACCGAATCCAAAAGACGAAAAGATAATTTATCAAATAATTTCATCTCAAAATAGTGCATATAAATGTCAGCAAGTACCGGACTGAGAGGATTACCCATAGCCAATCCTTTTTGAGCGTAATGTGCATTTGCCCCTCGCTCCCTATTTTAACTTCGCTAATATTTCTTTATGCTTGATCAGACAGCCTGGCTCAGTAAAAGTAGGCGGCCAGTGCAACTCTGATTAAAAATCTAGTTATAACCACGTGCAGTGCTGATAAGCACCACGTGTTTCTGTGATTCCTATTTTCTTCTTTCTATGTATTTCTTTCTCCTGATGAGGAGGGACCTTTAGCTGCCCTCGAAATCGATTGAGTGTTTCATTATACCTACGCTAAATATAAGGTTGTTTTTTACGATTTTGATTGTCACATTAGCGTGTTTCTCTTCTAGTCTAGGGTTAGACAGTGTCGCAGAGAGGGCATGCCATTGACAGGTCCAATGGTGATGGCTCAAGCCAAAATATTTTCATGAAGAAATGAACTTTAAAACTGAGTGCACATATTCAATGGGTTGGTTAACCAAATTAAAAAATTGCTATGATATAAGGTAATTGAAAATTTCAGGTGAAAAAGCTTCAGCTAATACTGAAGCTGCTAAATTATTTGCAGATAAATTCGCTGAACTTATTAATAATGAAACTTTACCTCCAGAACAAATTTACAACACTGATGAAACTAGTATTTCCTATCAATATGTACCATGAAATACCTTGGCAATCTCTACAAAAAAGGCTCCAACTGGTGTTAAAGATTTCAAAACAAGACTAACAATTTTAGCATGCGCAAATGCAGGAATGGACAAATGTAAACTTTTCATAATAGGAAAAATACACAACCTTAAGGATTTAAAAGAATAATGATTTTCCCCATTATATATGATACAAATACCGAAAGCATGAATGACACAACCGTTAATGAATGACTGGTTTGAAAATCATTTCATACCCGAGGCTCAGCAGCATTTGAATTCGGTTGGTTTACCTGATGATGCAAAAACTGTCCTGGTACAATTATACTTCATACTTCAAACTGTACTTCATACTTTAATTCATTTTGGCTCATACTTCTTAAAGTTTTAGTGAATGATAATGTATCCATATCATTCTTTCCTCCAAACTGTATGTCCATCATTTAGCATGTGGGATAGGAATAGTTCGTGCACTGAAATGCAAATGTAAAGTAGCATTTTTAAGAACCATATTCAATTTCTTGAATAATAGCAAAACGATTCAAGAATTTTTGAAATATTTTAGCATAAAATTGCTGTGTGGAGCATCCCAAGATCACTGGAAGATGTGTCTCCAGATACTTTAAAAACGTGCATGGCACAATTTATGGCACCAGCTACCATATTTCAGGGTGAGGATGATGAAGATGACAGACGTGAATCTGAAGGTGTTCAGATAACCAAACGAAATTTTCCAATTAATGGATTTTGTAAAGAAATGTGAAGAAGCAGTAACAAATGAAGAAAATATAACAGAAGATTTTCATTACAATGACAATGAGTCAATCATCATTCAATTAATGGACGGTGAAATCTGTAGTATGGTTCTAGATTAAGAAAATACCCCTACAGAAGGTAGAAAGTTACAAAGAGGTTACTGAAAACAAAAAAATTTCGATTGACAAGTTAGTCAAAATTCTTGGCACAGCAATTACAGGATTTGAACAATGGAACTTTGTAACTGAACAAGAAATTATGTATGTTTATAGAATTAAAGAGAAAGTATTAGTACAAGAAACAAAGCAACTTGAACAACTTACATTGAAAGAAATGATAAATACAGTAAACACATATCAAGCTTTTTTTTGTAAATTTTGATACCCTTTAGATCAGAGGTTCTCTACCGGTGGTATGCAAGAGAAAAATAGGTGGTACGTAAAGAAGAAAAGTATTTTTAAGTATTAAATTCAAAAAATTAAAACCCCAACATCCTGATTGAGTTCTTTCTCTAACACTTGTAAATTTATGAGATCTGAGCTTTGTTCAAGAGTGGTGGTGGTACTAAAAGTTTTCAATTTTTGTTTAGATGGTATGCGTTAGTCAAAAGGTCGAGAACCGCTGCTTTAGATCATAAAAGTTTCATTATTTCATAAATCAAGATTTCATATTTTTAATTTTATAATTTCTACATGCCATCTTACTAGATTTAATCTGATAATCTAATATCTAGAAAAACCCCAAGTCTGGAATCGCCAAAGTCACAACGAGTCCAGATCTTGGACTTTGTAATGCATACATAAGTATTTGTGTTTTAAAATTATATATATATATTGAATTAAATTAAATACATTAATGAATTAAAATAGATTTCCTTATACATGCACAATAGCTGCAAAGTAATAAAATAATAATTTATTTACTAATGGATTATTGAGTATATTATCTCCTGAGATAAGGTTAGTAGAACTGTGGTAGAATGAAGTATCTTGAAGCATAAAAAACTGAATTTAGAAAATTTGAATTAAATTTTTTTTTCTAAATTCAATTTTCAATGCTTCAAGTTATTTCATTCTGCTACAATTCTACTAAACTTATCTCAAGAAGAAAATACCACTTACTCATGGTCTTTTGGGGAACTTTTGGGCTTCAGGTCCAAACCCTTTGTTAAAAATAGAACGATTATGTGATCTGATGGCATGATTAACAGTCGTCTGAATTCTTTTCTCAGAAGGCCTTGTGGCAAATGTTTATGAAAATTAGACTTTGGGTGTAACATATTTTTCTTGCTTACTAGGCTAGTTTTTATTTATTTTCAGATTAATTACTGTTTTTGGATTTTTCAGTCTAATATGCCTTTTGTGTGTGATGTTAACAAAAATCAGAAAAAACTAGACAACATGCTCTTCATTCAAGAATCTCGTTCAATTTTCTAGTAATGATAATTGTTCCCCCCCCCACCCTTGGCCACTTGAAGAGTTAAAAGGTTTGCTTGTATTTTCAAATTTGGTGTTAATACTCTTACTAGTTCCATAATGTACAGTTTCTACATTATGTTCTTATGTTTTAATGATACTGAGAAAATGTGTCATTATCGAGAAAGGTACTGTAAATTCATTCATAATGTATTTGCATAATTTGCTACTTTCGAATGAGCATTGTATTTTAATTGTATCAGTGTCTGTATATATGCTGGTAGTATGTATTTATTTAGAGACATGGCACAGCTCTACTTAAAAAAAGATTATGCAAAATTTTATGCATTACTGTATTCTTAGGATAAAGTGTATCAGTAACTGACCAGTACCTATCTAACAATATTGACATTACTGATGATATTTTAATTCAGTAACAACATTAATTGCATCACATCCTTTAAAATGAAATCAACCTCTCACCCTTCTTGAATAAATTTTTACACTCGGATGACAATTAATTCCTTATGGCTCATCTTAGTACTTCATGCAATAAATGAAATCCCACAAAGCACTTGTAAATTGAAAAACTGGACAGTTTCATCTTTATTTTATGTATTACTGGTTATTGTGCTTGTAAATTTCAAAAATAAAGCCATGTGAAATCAAGTCATTTTAAGTAGCTCTGTAGCTTTATTTTAAAGAATAGTGTACATGTATATATATGGTCTAAGACAACATATGCCAAACAATTTTCTCTAAAAAGATGTATGAGCCAACTTGATATTTGCAATAAGAAAACATATTTCTGCCATCAGCTCATTTCAAATAACACAAGAATTTCCTAAATGTAAGAATTACATCTCTTAAGTTAGTATTTCAATAAATAAAGAACCAAAGAAAAAAAAAAAAAAAAAAAAAAAAAAAACTTTTTTACTGACAATACTTATTTTTAATTAAAGAACATTATTATAACAGATATAAATAACACATTTGATTTAATATTGGCCAATAGGCAACTTTGGTGAAAAAACTTTCTGTAGAAAATTGTTTGACACCTATTGCCCTGTAACACAAAAAGATTTCAAATATCCAAGCATTATTTCTTTATTAAGGCATCTTTCATATACTTTTTTATTAAAGGTGCCTAAAAAAGTTGGGGAAAATGTAAAATATGCATATAAATCAAAAGGATAAAATAATTTCAACATGCTTCCCATGAATTACACTATCATAATAAAGCAAGTCATCAAAACACTTAATATAAGCATAATGGCATGTAATTTGTCACAGTAAATTTTACAGTGTTAAAAGTTATGCACAAAAGGTTTACACAAATTATAATTAGCTTTTTCATTACAGTTCAATAACTGGTTATATGAAGTTATAATATGAAGTTTGGTTTAAATATGCTATTTCAATGCACATTAAATTTATCTATTTTAGCAACACAATGAATAACTGTAATAATACTTGAAAGTAAATAATATTATATGTAAAACCCTTTGAATAAAATAAATTTTCTTACCTTCAAGTTTAGAAAATTTTATTAACAGTATCGCATATTCTAGAACTTTCACAGAATCCAATTTATAGGTGGGATGTTTTTCCTTCCTACAAATGAAAAAATAATCTTAATAATAATTAAATATTAATCATAACAAATATGACAAAAATTTACATTTTCATTTAAATGTCAGTCTTTAGCTACAGCTTAGAAATTTAAATCTAACATATTTTTATATAAAAGTGCCTTACGGAAATAAACAATTTCTACTATTAGATATTAATGTACTGAAGACTGAACAACAAGCACAACATGACCTTTTAACACTTACTAGTAGTCAGATCGTTAAGACCGCTAAATAGTGGTAGTTAAAACTGGTTTCATCCCCAGGCAAACAAGTGTCCTGCATGGTTGTTTTTTTTTATGGTTTTCCCCATGTGTAATGTGAGTATGAATCAGTCTTCTTTAGAAAATCCACTACAAAAGCATCCCTCCCCTTAACCAGATAGCCACTGACTACTTAGCCATATTAGAATATTCTAATCTAATATTTAGCAGTTGTTCTCTCAAGTTAAAGGAGTAAAAGCAAGAAAATTTCAAAAAGGAACTGAAAAACTTTATTATGCAGATGTCATTAAAAAATAAGGAAAAGATAATCAAAAAGCACTCATCATCATTATTTTAAAAGCACAAATTTAGCTGCACTTCAAGATTTCAAAAACATTAAGTTACAAAACTGAATCAGATTATTCATTAGCACATGAGGCCTATTTGCTTAAGGGAAAGGAGGCCTTTGTGAAGGTTTCTTCCATGGAAACTGGCTCATATTCATATTACACATAGAGAAAACCATGAAAACTTTCATGCAGGCAAACCATTCACTAGCATCTGAACATGGGTAAAACTACCAACATGCAGCAGTTTTATTGTTTGGTTACTGATGGGAAAAATTAAAAAACTGACTTTATTCTAAATACAAAAGAACAGCTCCTTGTCTGACAAATTCATTGAACAATAGCATAAATTTAAATTCCATTTTAAGTATCATGATACCAAAAGAATGTCCGATTTCTGAATTTCCAAAAATTGTCTGATTTATGACACTTAGCATAGCATTTACAAGGGAAAAAAAAAAGACACTTACAAAACTGTCATATATTTTTTTGCCATTTCAATATCATTCAACCCAGCAAATAAACTGATTAATTGAGAACAGACTAATGTATTTTCTGTGGGGTCAAATTCTCTTGCTTGTGATAACAGTTGACGAACTCTATCTACATTCTGATTAAAAGGACAAAAAGAAAACATTTATTTATAACAGAAACAATGGTGCATTAACAACATGATGCGAAAATATATGGGAAAAAGTAATATGTATATGAATATATGTTTTAAGTACATAAATATATGTGATAAGTATATAAATATATGTGAAAGTTTATAAATATATAGGATGAAATTATTATCAAGACTTTAAAAGGCAGTTCTATCATAGAAGAATAAAAGGAAAGATAAAATAGAAAATAATTAAAAATGTATTCTAACAGTTAAGATCGGATGGATTATGTCAGGATCATTCTGAGACTCCTAGAATGTATAAGATATGTGGAACTGCGTATAAGTAAAATATAAATTCTAGAAAAGTGTGTAAAGAACAAATTCATTAAAAACATTAGCGGGGAAGGGGGGTATTCATAAGAGCCTATTTTCCTGCTAATTAAGATAACCTAAAATTGATTTTGTTTCCTCAGCCTAATAAATATATATTATGCAATAAGTATTTTTTAGATATACTATTTTCTTTCTCAATGTTTAATTTTATTCAGGTTAAGAGAGAAGATAAGCTTCAGCAAATTTTGAAAACAGTGAAGGAAATATGACAATTACCAGAATTTCACTGTAAGTGCAGTACAGCATATTTATAATTCTCAAGCTAATTTTATAATTCAAAATCACAACAGAATTTAAACTCTGCGAAATAATGACTAATTAAACGTATAACAAGCTAGGTGGGCCACAAATCAAAGATTTTTTAATGCATAATAAAAATTCAATTACCTAAAAAATGGAAAAAAAAAATAGAATACAGCAATACAATATTTATATTGTGTTATTCTATGTTATTTGCATACTGTTGTAAATCATATAAATATCTGCATTGTTTATTTGTATTGTGGCTATTATGCATATTATATAAGAGCTACAGTACCAATAAACAAGGCAAGTATTTATATAATTTACCACATCTTAATCTTAATTTCTATCAAAAACTGATTAGATGCTTTTTACTTTTTTTTTATTATTATTACAGTAAATTAGTTGAAACAAAAATATACAACAATTGCATGCATTTCAAATTTTTGAAGAAGGTATTTGAAATGACATGTATATTAAAACAATATATTTACAAATTGTAAAGACCACTTTTCATAATCATATTCTTATTTGCATGTTTATTAAAATACCTGTTTTAAATAATTGTTAAAAATTATTTATTTTTCACAAAGGGCTTTTAGAAAAATTACAATATAATTAACAATTATTAATTCTCATTGTCAGTATCTCTAACTGATTACAGCAAATCACATGAAAGCTATATTTTTCAAGGAATGTGATGACATCATAGAGGTCAAAGGAAATTTGTGAGGAAAAAATTCATGTAGTCTGCCAAGATGCAAATCTGGACTGAACTATCAATATTCAGTAATCTCATCTACTTGGCCACTGGTAGGCTATTCATAGTAAATGAGGGTATTAAAGTTGGTGTTTTTATTAGCAAAAATGTTTACAATATCTGTTTGATAAACTAAAAACATATTTTACAGTGAGGAGGAAAAAGAAAGAAAAAACATTAAATACCTTTCTTCTGCTATGATAAAGCAAAATATCCACTAAGTACTGTTGCCTTGATGGTTGATCCTAAAATTAAAAAAATAAGCAGATGTTATGAGTGGTTTAGTTAAGGAAGACTCTGAGCTATCATTTGCTGCAGATATCAATATCTAAGAATATCAGAATATCTAAGACAAGGAAAAATACTTATGGCAGCGAAAAACTTGAAGGCTGCCTAAAACATCACAAGGTACCAAATACCCAAATTTTTTCCCTTCAGTGTTCCATTAAAAACATCTCTCAACAATATTGCTTTTAAAGCTGCATTCAATCACCCCATAAAGTTTTGCCCCCTTGTTCAGATTCAACATGTATATACAAAGCTACTGTAAATTTTAACACCAGATGGCACTTTAAATGAGATATTTATACATTCATATAACTTTTATTCACGCAGATGCTCAATATGTCCATCAGTGTATTCAATCACAGATAGTAAGCAGATCTGACCCTATACTATCACAGAAGACAAATGTCCTAGCTGCAAATATCACATCTCCAAACACTGTAGACATTTCATTTCATATCATGTTTTGATCCTAAAAGTGAAGAAGTATCTGTTGTGCAGATTCTTGATTTTAGATACAATGGTGCATTTCATAGTGAAAACTTCATACAATTCCTATAATGCATGCATAAAAATATCCCACATTATGTACTACAACTAGATATTTCCATAACATTAGTACTATGTGAAACGTAGAACTAAATGTATTTTAATTTCTATATAGGTGGTGTGTGATGATTATATGAACACTGTACATGCACACTTTAGCCAAACTGCACGTTTTTGCCTCTCTCTCACATGACACACAGTCAAGATTATAGAATAGAAAAGAATGTTACGATAATGGATGTTACATGATGTACGCCACTGGAATATTATGTTTTAACTTTATGTAAACTGTATTTGTTTTTGTTTCCATTATAATAAAGTGTTCATCCTATTAATACACTGCTCGACATTGAAAATGCAACACCAAGAAGGAGTGGTCAGAAATTTATGCAAATTTTAGAGTAGCGCATGTCACTGAGTTATGCGAATGATGTGAAATGCGCAGCTCTCCGATGCACGTGAAGTAAGATATAAGGGGAGGAACTTGCAGAATGGGCAATATTCGTGTTGTTATTTCTGCCAGGCGAATTATCGAAGAAAGTTGGTTTTTGTCCCGGAGGATACGTGTAATAGGAGAGAATGCCAGGCCACCGTCAATGAACGCACTTCCAGCAGATAGACGATTTTACAAGGGGTATGGTGAAAGGACTGAGAAGTGCAGGTTGGTTCTTACGTCAAATCGCAGCTGATACCCACATGGATGCGAGTACGGTGAATCGGCTTTGGCGAATATGGTTGGAACAAGGAAATGTGGTAAGAAGGAGGGTGCAGGTGCAACCAGAGTGACGTCAGGACGCGTGGATCAACACATCCGCCGACAAACTGTGGCGGTCCCGCAAGTCACTTGTACTGCAATTCTGCAGCATGTGCAAGATACCCTGAATGTTCCCGTGTTGACCAGAACCATTTCCCGTCGATTGGTTGAATGTGGCCTGCACTCACGGCATCCGTTAGAAGACTACCATTGACCCCACAACATTTAGAATGGTGCCAGACTGGAGCGATGTGGATGACAGAATGGCGAAACATCGTGTTCTTAGATAAGTCATGCTTCTGTTTATCCAGTGACAGTCGCCACAGGAGACAGATCTAATCCGGCAGTAACTGTGTAACACACCACTGCACGACAATGTGGCATAATGGTTTGGGGCGCTATTGCGTACGATTCCAAGTCACCTCTAGTTCGTATTGAGGGCACTATGATGGCCCAACGATACTTCGATAATGTACTCCGGCCGGTGACAATCCCCTACCTTCAGAGGCTGCCTAATGCAATTTTTCAGCAGGATAACGCCCGACCACACAGTGCTTGCATCTGCCAATATGCTTCCCTGGCCACCGTACTCTCTTGATCTGTCAAAAATCGAACATGTGCGAGATGTGATTGGACGCCATTTTCAGACTCTGCCCCTGCCTCGTTCAGAAGACAAACTGTGGCAAATGGTTGAAAGGGAATAGAGAGCCATCCCTCAGGACACCATCCGCACTCTTATTGACTCTATGCCAATATGTGTTTCTTCGTGCATAGCTGTCCACTGTGGTCCTACATCCTACTGAGCCGACGCCGTTCTCGCTCTGTATTCTATCATTCTGAAATAAAGATCACTTATTGCTGCTTGCTGTCTCTGTCTTTTTTCCAAATTTCATCACTTTCTGACCACTCCTTCTTGGTGTTGCATTTTCAATGTCGAGCAGCATATGTATGCTATATGAAAATGCATATATCACGTCATGTTCATATAAAATATATCTGGAACCCACCTCAAGATGAATATATGATAGTGGATTATATAAAAAAAATTTTAAATACAGTTGAGCATAAACAAAAATAAACAGCAGAGAAGGGGAGAAGTAAATATAGTTTTTAACACTGTATTACCAATGAAGAATTGCAAGTCCTCCTTAAACAAGACTACGAGGAAGACACAAGGAAATTGTTGAGAACAGACTATGTTGAGAAAGAGGAGAAAAAGTGTCCTATCTTGTTCATTTCTTATAAAAATAGGTTGATTTCCAAAATTTACAGACTGGCCATATTAAAAATTTAAACAACACTTAAATTTTGTTGCCTCTATTATGCCTTTAAAAGTACTGCAGCAATGAAGCAGCAGATGATTTTTACAGTTTTGCGATCTAGCTTTATTACAAAATATATCTTTGCAGGAAAAAATGAAAATGTGAAACCTAATCCAAAATTTTCCTAAGCCCACTTTATATTATGATGAATGTAATATAGAGAGCTATAGATAATAATAGAATAATATAGATAATAATTTATAGAGAGACCATCTCATGCTGAAACTTATAATTTTTTAAAATGATCTCAAAGAAAATCTCACTTTATTTTTTAATGAAGAAAACATCATTTTCTTCTATATATTATAAAAACAAGTTATTTTAAGTTACTCACCAGCTGTAGTGTTGGGCTAGTTAGCTAACCTATTAAGCCAAAGCTAAGGTAGGAAAGAACTTTAAACTAGGTCTTAAAACTATTTGTGTAGAAATATTAGTACTTATGCCTGTATATCAGTCAATACCCTGTAATGCTACAACCCACAATTCTGCTTTCTGTGAGCATTGTGACAACTCCAGAAGTTGTCCAGACTCTTCCGCAAAAGTGCAATATTTTATTTTACATACTTATTTTTATTATTCTTAATGCATTCTTTTTCAAAGGGATAAAGAAGTCAGGAATGCTTCTTTTTGTGTTTCAATGTCCACTGCATTATTACAACTCACAATTAAGTTTTCTTTGAGCATTGTGGCCACTTTCACACTGTCCATATTCTTCTAAAAAGCTGCAATATTTTATTTTCTATATTTATTTTCACTGTTTTTAATGGACTCTTTTTATGGAGGTTAAGGAGAGCTGGGAGTTAAGGGAGCTGGGCATCTTTTTATACTTCAGAATCAACTCCAGTACAATTTGAGTAAGTATACTTGTACTGCATCATTTTTTGGTAACCCTGTTCACATGAAAAATTCTCGGTATAACATTTATTCATCTCATATTAATTTTATTCTATTTTACATCATATATTTACTTGGTCTGTGAAAAACTCTCAAATATTCTAGCATAATGAAAATTTATACAACAAAATATGTATGATGAAAATATGTCAACAAAACTGCCAACAAAGTACTAAAATAAGAACATACACTGGTTTGGAAAAAAGCCATTTGCCTTCTTACAATGGAGACAGAGACAAAATATGCAGAATAACATTGTGCTGATGTATATAATATATTTTATTTGCCAAAGAGCACTGACAGACTGATGGCTGTGTATTGAAGTACTGCCAATACCCAAGTATTGATGTATTTTAAAAATGGTTTACATGACTGCTTTGTAAATACAGAATACCCTATTAGATGACTGAAAGTGACTCAGACATAACAAATCTTCAAACAAAAACAAGAAAAATACAATATACTTTTTGCATTGATTAAATATTTCTTAATTCATCTCTGCAATAACAATATGCATTTTTATCACTTACTTTCAAGTTATTTAGTAGTTCATTTTCCTCTTCAAATGTCACCTCTGCCTAAACATGAAATTAACATAAGCATGAAAAACAGTTAAAATCTTATGAAAAAACAAATGCGTATAACATATACATGTGGAATATATTTGAAGAGAAATGATACTTACCAATTACTTACACCACCACAGAGGCAACATATCACGTCACCAAAAAGTATTTATTTAGCAACTCACGATGTTGCCAAGAAAGTATTTATGTAGCAACTCATGTATGTGCATAGGATCCCCCCCCCTCATGTGACAGACAACTTTTCATTTCTCTGGATATTTTCACCAGTGGTAGTGGAGTGAGTGAGTTATGATCCCTCCTATGGGAATTTCATCATTTTAGCATAGTGGTGGACCTCACACAGCAGATTTTGTCATCTTTGTCAAAATCTCAGGCTCATTCTGCACGCATAGGAAGTAATGTGACTTGCATAAAGGTGTATTTCCCATCTAAGCATTTTGGTACTGAGGCTGTACATGATACCGAGTTTGTGCAATTCTCTGATTTTCTCTTAGCAGAAAGGGATTGCTGCATACATGGGAAGAAGCAGCACAAAAAACCAAAAAGTGTTAAGTCTTGTATATATATATATATATATATATATATATATATATATATATTTAAAAAAAAAAAAAAGAAAGAAGAAAGAAAGAAAAGAAAAGAAAAGAAGAATGTAAAATAGGTGACAGTGATATGTTTGCTGAAATAAAATAAACATACAGCTACCCAAACAAATGTTAATTTTCAAAGCTGGCAACAATTTTGTGAACACTCTGCAATGCCAGCAATGAGTTTGTAACTTTTCAGTGAAGATACAAATAACAAGATAGTACCGAATTTACAACTGTAAATGTAACTTCCCTGTTATGAAGTAGGGAAAAAAGGCAATTTACAACAAAAACACTATTAAAGTAAAAAAAAAAAAAAAAAAATCCTAAATGCTTACAAATATTAAGAATGTTAATTTTAATAACATTTTTCATTTTTCTATTTAAAATTCTAAATAAAAAATACAATTAAAATGTGGCTTTTTTGATCAAATTCCAGAAAAATAAATGAAAATTTAAGGGGTTAATTAATTGCAATCAAGAATACGACAATGTACTCATTTAAATCTCGACGCAAATACTATAGTTTAATAAAATAAATGAAATGATAGAAAAATCTAAGCATTAAATCATCCAATCACACTTCTTATATGTTCACAAGAATGAAATGTGTATGTTTATATGTAATTTACTGCTCTTTAGCAAATACAAATACATTTTGATTTAAAAGTCCCACAATGAAATACATTGTAAATTAATTAATGAAAATAATTAATTAATTAATGAAAGCTATTAAGAAATCTAATAAAATCATGTAAATGTGAGAAAAATAATAATGATAATTAAGAGATAAAAATACAGAATAATTAAATGAACAATACCTTAGGTGGAAAATCAGAATGTGAGTCTTCTAGTTTTTTAAGATTCAACTAAAAAAAGAAAGAAACAAATGAAAAGAAAACATTAAAAACAGCAAAAAAGATAAAACATAATAGTACATTAACATTAAATATCTTTAAACTAAAAAAAAAATTAGTAATACATATGTTTGGAAATTTATATCAACAGTAATATCATAACAACTATTACTTAAACAAATATTTAAAAAATGCAGTTGATTTAAATAATTACTTTATTAAAATCATATCTAAAACTGCTGCAATAGTAAATATGTAATAAAATGTAACAAAATTTTCCATTAAGAAAAATTCTTCTAAAATTATAGATTCTGTTAATAAAATATCACATGAAAAAAGAACTGCATGTACATGTAGCTATAACTATCTCACTCCAACAAGATTTTGTTCTCACACTGCTTGATCATGATCAAGAAAATAGTCAGTATTGAACACCTAAGACCAGCTGCTAATACCCCAAGAGTCACATCACATTAAATTACAACATAATTGAAAAAAAAATATATTATTGCTAAAATAAAATTACAGAGACCAGAGAGAAGAAATAATAAAAAGGGGGGAAAAAGCTTTTCATCTAGCTTAGCCCCAAAAAATGGAGTTACATTTCTGAAATGAAAATCTTTCCACTGAAAAAAAGGTACGGAATTTAAAAGAACTTTGCAAGTGTTTAGCTAAATGTAACAAAATTAATGCTAATCTCTTAGTTAAAAGCAAACAATAAAAGATTCTTTGCAAAGCGCAACACAAATATTTTGTTGAAAACAGTCCCCCTTTTATTTAAGGGCTATCTTGCTAAAGGAAGACACCTTGTTTAATAGTGATCAAATGAAAAAAAACATCATGTAATATTAATACCTTATATCTTTTATCAGTTACTGTTTTAATAAGCATATTTCTATTAATTATAAAATGTATAACAGCCCCCTCCCAACTTACTGTACTAGTTCTTAGGCTCTTTAAACATGAATTCGTACAGCATAGCATTTTCCTGATACCTAATTAATATGTTATATGAAAGTTACTTGTATCTCTATACTGATATAACCATTATGTTCCAGAGTCGATTGCTACTTCAAAATATAATAATAATAATAATAATAATAATAATAATAATAATAATAATAATAATAATAATAAGCTAAATAAAACAAAATGTACACCAAGCAGCAAAACATAATGTTATAATTAAACACCTCTTTTAAAGAAAAAGTACACATTTCACATTATTTATTATGCACTATGAAATTTTAATACATATAATAAGCATTGTGAAATAATAATATTATTTATACAATTATATATTGTATTTCTTTTATATGGAAGGTGTTTAGCATGAACATACATGCTAATTTAAAGTATCTTATTACAAGAAAATACTATAATGAAAACTTTTTTAAACTACTAAAACTTTTAAAACTTAAAAATACTTTATTCTCTTAAGGACCCTCTACACAAGACAAAGTTAAAATTGTTCAATGGCAATAAACTCTCTCTCATAAATGTGTTGCCTGACACCATATCATTTATGCAGACTGAATTTGTCTTTATATTGACCTGAGCTAATGAGCCAATTAGAGAAATCAAAGCAGATGAAGTGATTGGGATCCAACAGGAGACCTAAATCTATCTCACACAAAACATAATAATTTGCAAAGTTTTCAGAACATTTATTTTTCAGGCCTTAATTTTAAAAATAAGTAGAAATAATAATGATGATAAACAGGAGGCTTAAGAATAGACAGAAAGTAATGATGATTAAAATTGGCAATAAAACCGCAAAATACAAAAAATAAATTAAACAGAATAATAAAAACATTCGACATAAAACACCATTAGACATTGTAACATCTTTGCATTGCTATGCTACCAACATAACACCAGCAAGAAATGTACAGAAATCTCACACATAAAATACCTGTGCTCGAAGATGCACACAGTGTCAATGTTAAGGCGCTCTGAAATCGGGGAGTTTATAATCAAAAATTCATTTACAAAATAGGAAATAGATAATAAAACAATTCCAAATTTGGGCTTCCAGAGTATTCAAGTCATATTCGAGTGGAGGACTATGCTATTCAAAATTGGATGTCCCTATATACCATTAATATTTCACTATGTGACAAGCATACATACATTCATGCATATTCTCTATTATTCAGTTTCTTTAAATATAATGCAGGGCTCTAATATTTGGTGGCAACAATTTGAAAAGTGATTCATACTTTTATAGTAAACTAGCGCAAAATGCCTAAACAAAATTAGTAGCCCATTTGAGCTAAAAATAAAATTAATAAAGAAAGAAAGGAAAGCAATTAATTGTGAAAATATATGCATACTTAATCATTCATTTACATAAAAGAAAATAATACATCATTTACTTCATGTACAGCATAAAATATAACATACACTGCTGATAATTAGATTTATAATAAAGCATCGATTTTTAGCACATAAAAAAAAACTAATTTTATTACTTTATAAATCTAATAATTATATTTATACTATAAAACTAAATAATTAATTAATATATAAAAATTGATCATATAAACAATTATATTTTATATTTAATAATAAAATAATGTAAAATGATTATACATTACATTAAAAAAATTTATTAATTTTTATATTGACAAAATTCTGCTAATCAAAAAAAAAAAAAAAAAAAAAAAAAAAAACTTTTTAGCCTTTGTTTTCAAGAAAACAGCTCAGTTGTATTCAAACTCATAACCTTATGGTCCATGAAAAATTCAGCATTTCAGTAAATGTGCCTAACAATTCATTCAGTAGCTGGTTCTAATTAAAAGGTTGAAAAATCACAAACAGGAAATCGGAAAGAAAATCAATGCATACAGGCGATAAATTAGGCTTTTACTGTCTGTCAGATGTCTCAGAATATAAGAAAGTAGTAATCCTCTTAACGAGGAAAAAATATTCTAACAGATTTAGTTAATGTTCACAAATGAGGTAAAAAAATACATTCCTTTATAGTTGACAATAACAAATCACTTGTATAAAGGTGAAAAAAAAAAATTTCTACCATTTCCAAAGACATCAGTCAAAAGTTATGATTTAAAATAAATGTTTCATAAGTTTTTTTAAGGTAACAACAAAGACACCAAACAGTTCAAGGCATATGTCATTTAGCAAGCAAAACACTAATTCAATAATCACCATTCCTTTCCAGACACATGATTTCTATACAACTTCATTTGTATTCTGTCATAATTAATTATTATGACTCCTGGTGCAGGTATTGAAAATATGTATCTGATGTGCCGGTAATATATTTTCCCGTGTAGATAGACTGGTGTAGCCAGCCATTACAGAAGTCAAGAGATACTTGTTCAAATACATGTCTCCTTATGCAGACACGCTTTTATGAAGCATTAAGACACTTAAAGCTTTATATAAGTTCAAAATTAAGCGCTTCATATGTAATATTGCAGAACTATTGCAAAACTTCCTTATAATTCTTAAAATTAAAACAAATAATCCTTTTAATCCTTTATTTTATTACCAAAAACAGAAATTTAGCCCTCAGCTTTAATGCTTCTTAGGAACAATGAAGGGCTGTTTGTCCTCACAAATTTGATATAATTAGAATGATTTCTAGATCATTAGCTTACAATGTACAGTAAAATATTTTAAAGAACAATTTTTTTATACTATAAGTAACAATAAATTTCATAGCTAAATGAAAGCACAGGCCATTCAGAGGATTAAAAAAAAAAAACATTCAATTATTTTAGGATACTAATTCTCATTATCATGAGAGCTATCAGCGAATTTAGAACAGTAAATTACATCTTTAAACTTCACTGACTGTCTAACATTCTGAATTTTTTTATTATTTCTCCTAAAATGAGACCATGTCAAAATAACATAAAAAAATAAATTAAAAATATTAATTAAGATCTTCAAATTAAGTTACCAAGCTTACAAAAAAAAAAAAAAAAAAAAAAAAAAAGAGTGAGATAAAAATAAAATGCACTTTTTTTAAAAGTTTCATCAATAATAACTTAATTTTGTGAAACAATGACAATTAACTAACAAAGATAATGAATCCAATTGAAATAATGACAAAATACAGTCAAATTTATTTAGTACAGCCTTCAGTATAATGACCCATGAGGCATTTTTTGCTAGCCCTTCTTTAATTTAAAACAATGATTATTCAGTATAACATTCTTTTGACTAGTCTCTAGATATCATTTGCAAAAACAATGACTTTTCGTGCTCCCACCAAAATGCAAATTACCAGTGAACTTACAAAGTATGTATTCTCCTGAATCTTATAATACATGGGGGAGGGGATATAACCTACTTATCTGATGGAAAACAAGCTGCACGTTTGTGTTTAGTATATATTCAAAACATATTCCTCATAAGAGAATTAATTTATTTCAGAGCCCATAAAGCATTCTTGAAAGCCATCTTTAACTGAAACATTAAGAAATTAATTTGAGACTGTTTCACAGTTTTCTCATTAGCCAAATGGGCCCTTTCAATACCAGCTTAAATTTATGAATAGGAAGTAATGTTGAGAGACAAATCTCCTAAATATAAAGACTGTTATAGCACATGCAATTTTTTGGGAAGCTAAACACAGTCACGATTAATAGCTGTAGAACAACCATGTACCTTCATGCTAAATTTTGTAGGTGAACTTAAGAATTCTTGAACACAGGGCTCGTACACAATCCGCCACAGAGAAATTAAGTACTTCTAAGGACTTTTAAGGACCATTAATGAAAAAAATTAAGGACCTATGAGCAAATGCAAACTGAATAAATTCAATTAAAAATATTATCTATACCTAAATTTCCCTTTTGTAATACCATCCTAAAAATAAAATAGATCCCTAAGTAATATGCCTTATTACTAAACATGAATTAATTCACACAATTATTAATAAGTTTGAGGATAAAATAAACTTTAAGCAATTTATCAAGTAGCATTAAATATTTTACACTTATAATAGTTGGACATATTTGAAAGAAGATAAGTGACATTTACATTTTACTAACAGTTAGCTTTATGTTGATTTTTTTCTGTCTCATTTTGTCACATACTTGGGCAGTCTGGAGGTTTAGTAAATAGTAGGTAGATTTTATGTCAAACGGCATAGGTTAAAATGAGAAGTAAGATCATAATCAGCATGATTCATAACAAAAGACTGAATGTTGTCACCGCTGCTGCTTGTTTAGAGAGAGGCCTGCTGATTGGAACAAACCTGAAAGTCCTGATGTAGGCACGGTTGGCAAGTGTTGAAAGTTAGGCTCTGTTTGATGCAGTTAGTGTCGTAGTTTCGTGTAGAGTTCCAGGGGTTGTAACCCAGTTAATATACTTTAAGGTTCCGATAAGCCATTAAAGCAATGGAGGTGATAAGTTATTTTGTATTATTTCAAGTCTCATTAGATGTAAAGAATAAGTTTTACTTTATTTTTGCATTTTTGTATTTTATTTTGTGACCACAGTGAGTATTAATGAAAGGCAATAACTTACTTTAATATGTAGAGATAATTTTTAAGGGTAAGCAGTTAGTTATAAATAATTAAATTAGGTAGTTTGATAACCTTAGTCATTATGGATTTACATGGCCACTATTAAATTTTATTTTTTAACAATATTTGTTAAAAAAGCCCTATTAAAATCAAAATCTAATAAAGTTTCACAGTTTAAAATACATGCAATTTATGACATTGATTCTTAAACGATATTAGGATAATTACATATTAAAAGGTATAAAACATTTATGTTTTGTATCAACAACACTCAACAAAATACTTATCCATCATTTTAATTTGAAGCCTTCCCAAACATTTTGGCTAGTTTATATAGATTTCCTTCTCTTTAAACATCTTTTCTAACAATTAGAGATTTGTTTCAATATGCAAACTATTGCTCTCGCAAGTTTCTGCATGCTTTATCTCCTAACTTGTCAACCTCTCCACAATGTACCTATAACAGTTTACTTGATTCGGTAAAAATTAAATAGTCTAAAATCCCCGACAGACGAGAAGCAAATTATCTTTATGGCTGAAAGTAACTACAATATCAGACAAAGGTTTAAATAAACCTCTTATTTAAAAAGAACTTCGAACATAAAGGCATGTTCTGATGCTAACAAAATCAATCATGGGGACGTAATTAAACAAGAACAGTCAAATTCAAACTAAAAATGTGGACTAGTGGTCATTCAGTATGTATAGAAAGAGATCATCATGACACGTGGACTTAATACAATGTGATAAAGACTACACAATTTAATTTAAATCTTAAGCTAGCTCAGTAACTCTATCATATGAGGAAAACAGAAATGGGAAATTATAGTAAAGGCTGAAATCATAAACAATTGGGTAATTTACATAATAATAATAACTGCACATATCTTTGAAGAATAATTTTCTTTGTGTATTCAGTTTCTTTCTTCAACACGTTTCCTTTTCATTTCGGAATTTTCGGATTTAATTAAGGATTTCTGTTTTCTAAAAAACACTAAATGCATTTAGAATGTATACAAAAAGCAGCTAATTTTATTTCTTTAGTAATATGAAAATTTAGAAGAAATATGAAATATATATGATAAAGGCCAGTTACAGAGCTGATGTGGCAGAATTTTTAGAATTTAGTGACACACCGAACAACAATATCTAAACATGGCAAAACTTCTAGACTTTAGAGCAGGCGTTGGAAGAAGAATTTAGAATCCACACAGATTGCATCAGGTGGGAAAATGCCTAGTGCTAGCTATGTGTATGATGCATTAAGACATATTAGATGAATCTTTTAAATTGTTTTCAATTTCTTTATTGATAAAAAAAAATTCCTTTCTATAATGCCTGCCCATGTGATAAGATTAGAAACATTTTTGATATTTTCTATGCTTGAATCTAATGAAAAGTAGAGAAAATAAAGAGAAGATAAACATATTAAAAGATTCTAGTATCAGAAGAAAAACATTCAAATATTATGTTTTCATTGTTCTTCCAGACGTTTTCCAACAAGTAAGAAATTCACTGCAAACTTTCTGTAAAATACACCCATTATGTGTTGATACCATGGGGACATTTTACAGTTTTTCATGTATTTCTTGAATCTTCTAGAATCGTGGATATATAAATCTTGGCTTCAAATCCTTCTAAACCTTCCAAGCTGCAATGTCTAAAATCCTGAAGAAAAATTATCCTTACCAATTCTATAATATAACTGCAAAAAGCCAGAAATATTTTGGGGAAAAAAAAGGGAGGGAAAAAGTGTAAAATTAATTTTATACAGCATATTCTTAGAATTTTGAATATTCTGAGACAATTACATGGGAAAAACTCTTAATATGAAAAAATTAAAAAGAAGACATTTTTAATTATTTACATAGCTAGTTTTGCTTTTGCTAAGGGCTGTTTCATAAATTCTGCTTTAGAGCATTATACCTTGCTTATTTTTCATCTTCAAAATATTGTATAATAAGTTGCCAAAATGAAACTTTATAATATGATGGCGAAAAAAAGTTTTATTTTAATGTTATTTTTTAAATATAATTTCAATATATTAGAATTATTTTAATGAAATTTATCAATGTTGCGATGTTTTAAAAAAAATCGTCGAAAAATTCTCAAATCTCGGAATTAAAACTTTTCTGCAGAAACTGATCTTAAAATCCCCAGAATGTTGATAAGTCGCCAAATTTAGATAAAAGAATTCACATCTTCAAATGCGAAAAGTTGTTTAAAAGCTCTTTATTAGAAAAAATTAATTTTGAAATGCTTATGTTTCACTTCTTGCTTAGAAACTCGAGTATCCCATTATTTATATATATGAAATAGAAACAAATTATAACCCATGAACCCATTCAAAAGATAACCATATATGTCAGTGAATAGCCCAAAATGTTCCTCCAAAATGCTAATTCACACTCAAAATAGCAGTCATAAAAACAGACAGAAATTTCAGATGATTCAAATTAAGGACCTTCTGCTGAGTTTGGCCAAAATTAAGGACTTTTAAGGACCAAAAATCGATTCCAAAAATTCTAAGGACTCTTAAAGACTGTACAAACCCTGTGAACATTAAATAATTCAGAATCAGTAGAATTGTTTAAAAAAAAAAAAAAAAAAAAAAAAAAACCTTTTGTTAATGATTCCATTATAAGTATAAAAAAAAATGGTAACATTACACTGAAGTGGAATTGCAGTTATATAGCTTAGACTTGAAAAGGGAATCTTTGAAAATTGAATTCTAATATATAAACTTTGATGGCACATATTGGAAATACAATTTTTCTGTCACGATAACTTTGAAACAACATACAGCCTAGTCTGTGAATCTAAGCAAATCTCTAGAATGCTGCATTCTTTTGTATTTTTGGAACATCTTAGAAGAAATGGTTTATTTCCCCAGATCTCTCACCAAAATGAGATCAATAGCTTATATGTATCCTCATCTCATTTTGGTAGAGTAAATATTTAGATTAATACTGATGCATGTTCATCAGACAGTCAAATCTAACACCTTTTCCAGCCTAAAAAAGATGGTTCTGCATTTCATCATCAATGCAATCTTCCTGTTTGAAACGCTGAAAACATACGCATATGACAAATCTTTTTTTTTTTTTTTTTTTAGTTTTCTTAATTTGCAATAAAATTTGATATTTTATCTCCCCCTTAATGTTTCACATGGTTGTTGCTGCTGTAAAAGTTTATATGAATATTATCACTATAAAATTCAGTTGTAACAGAGTGAAAATTTCAAGAAGGATATGAACATCATCGACTTGTCTTTGAACAACCTGACACTAAACTTCACTAGAATAAGATATTCTGTACTTTTATGTTATACACCTGGCATGCTTTTCCGCACCTGTGACAGAGAAGCCAAGTACCAGTCAAGACCCAACGACAGCATCATCTGGGTACTACATGCGCATGTGTATGTAAACAAGAATAATTAAATGCACACGTATTATTACAATAGTACTGCTAAAATATCCATATAGTGTGGCAGGTACATAACCGAAAAGTATCAGATATCCATATAGTTTAATATATATCTAAAATGTTTAGTAAAGTCAATGAAAAGTATATTCATATATACAGTATTAGTATTCTAATTTAAAACATGCAAATATACAATATTTGAATTCTACATACTGTAATATTACTAGCAAATCCGTCTGTATCTTTATGTACATCTATCTGATATTTGTTGAATGGACAACATAATGTTATTTGGCTGCATAAAATCACTTTTCATAATGCATGAAAATATATGTATTTCTTCAAAAGCAATGATAATTAAAAACCAAATATGTTCAGAATAATGGTAATTTTTAAAGAAAAATCTAATAAAAAATCTATAAGACATACCACTGAATTAGGATAATATCTATTTAGTATTTGTTTACAGACATCAAGGCTTTTTTGACCAAAGTGGACCTGCAAGAACAATGCAAATTAAGCATAAATTTTAATTTCTTAAATTTAACACCTAATCGTTTTGTCACAATACATTAAAATGAATTTCTATCTCAGAACTTAAAATTTTTCAGTACAACATCATAAAATATATAATAAAAGTAACATTAATTTTTGTTAATTAAAAAGGTTGATTAGCTAGCTTGGTTCCAGGAGTGTAGTTATGTGAAAGTTTATAGGGCTGAACTGCATGCATTTCATAGATGTGATTATGTATTGCAACATTAAGTGCCTGTAGTTTCTGTTTGAAGTACTTACCAGACAGACATTGAAGTTGGGCCCAGCATTATTATCAGTAGGTGCTGATATGTGCTGAGCTATCTGTGGGCATGGAAACAGATATAATCATACCTTTTTCCACCATCAAGCTTATGTTTTGCCTGCAGTCTTACCTAACATCAGGGTCAGGATCACAGCTGGTGCAGTCGCACGAGATGGCAATTATTTTTTATTATTATTATTATTATTATTATTTTAATTTGGAGAAGTAATGAGCAGCAAACATAAGGGACAGTAAAATTTTTAGAATTTAGGGAATAGGGCAATGAAATTTTTTTAATTTAGGGGGCTGCCAGGCAACAGAATTTAAGACCCTCAGACATTATACAGGTCAATAAAATGTCTAACACCTGCATCGTTCAGCATAATCTCTATACTAGAGGAGAATTTCCTTCTAGGAGAGAATTTTATGGTTTTAGGAAGGATAGCAGTCGGCTTTCATTAGCATTTAGGTTATTAGTTTTAGTTAATGAATATAAAAAACTACATTTATTAAAGTTTTGGTACTTATCAACATTCGCTATGTATTTTCAGGTTTAATTTATAAAATACATTAAAAATAATCTAAATTTATATATATATATATATGTCATGATAAAAGCAAAGGAAAGGACGGAACACTGTAACAATTAATTGTAATAATAAAAGCAAAGGAAAGGACGGAACACTGTAGATGCTTGATTAGACCCATATTGAAGAAGATTTTGATTGTGCAGTATGCTAGTAATGCTAACTTGTTAATATCTAAAGAACTTGGCAATCGAAGCAGTTTTAATTCCATTTTTATTTCCAATTGATATTTGTGACCACAATCACCTTGGCACTCTAGTTATGCCTATTCAAGAACATTACATTTTTGATATAATTGAGAAGGAAAGCAAGCCAGCGAAATTACATCTTAGCAGAGTAGAGGGCAAAAGCTGAAGTGCGTAGTTATGCAAGATGGAAGCACGCGAAGAGAAAAGTTTTGGTTTACAATTCAGTGATTGGTTGTCAAGAGGCATCTGGTATTAACGGTTACGTAAGATCGCATGATTAATCTGAATGACGCAATGCAGATAAGTTATTACGATTTTAGAATAGAGAGGAAGAATTAATGTTTATAGTTATATTATAATTCTGATTCATACATTTTTATCTTACATATAGTTATATTATAATTCTGATTCATACATTTTTATCTTACATATATATATTTATATATATGCAAGATAAAAATATGTAAATCAAAATTATAATTTAAACTAACGTAAATTCTCCCTCTCTGCTCTAAAAATTGTAATAACTTCTTGGGCTTGCACCATTTTTAGATCTTTCCTTTTTGCATGGCTTGCACAATGCTGATGATCTAATAATTGGAAACTTAAAAATTTTCTTTACGTGCTTCCATCTTGCATAACTATGCACTTCAGCTTCTGTCTCTGCTCTGCTTGGACGTAATTTCGCTATGCTGCTTCCTATTGCAATAATATAAAAAATGTAAATGTTTTTGAATAGGCACAACTCAAGTGCCAAGTGAACTGTGGCAACAAATATCAACTGCAAATAAAAATGGAATTAAAACTGCCTCGACTGCCCAGTGTTTTAGATACTATGAAGTCTACATTAGCAACTATGCAATCAGAATTCTTCAATATGGATCTACGTATGCATCGACACTACTCCAGTCCTTTTGCTGCTATTATTTCATATATATATATGTATATCCATACATATGTATGTGCATTTTTCAAATTTTGGAAGGGAGGGAGGGAAGTATGATCGTCTAGCAATGGTGAAAAGATTGCTTGTGGCAAAAAAAACTAAGAGCTCCTTTTTATATATTTGACCAAACGAAACAATTCTTCTTCACTGATTTTTGTCATATATAGTAACTGCAATTATTTTTTTATTTTTATATGCATAAATAAAAATTATTTCTCTATTTAACTGTGTTTTTTATATTTTTCATAGAAGTAAAAATGTCTTATTTTTTAAACATAGAATCTTCATTAATATAAGAGAGGGAAAACAATAAATAAATATAAAAACATTCTGATTTGTATTACAGCAAATGAGAATCAGCCTATAGGAGGAACCTGAATTATCCAAACTTTTTGAATATTCGTGATCTCAGTTAGTTTGAACACTGTAGTTTCAATGCACTTAAAAAGCCAGAATTATAAAACAGTTTTTAGATACACTGATAAAATTTAATCTCTTAAAATACGAAATGGAGACTGTGCAAATAGGTGCTCTGTAGGACAATAAAAGTTAGTTCCAAAATTTAATTGGTAAATCATTGGTTATATTGAGTTCATTATTTTGTAAACAGTAAAATTAAATATATAAGACTAAATACAGCTATTTGTGATTAATAATTTCTTAGCTGTACTAGCACTCAGGACTAGACACTCCGCACAGGTACAAGTAACTTGGTTCAAATTTCTCAAAGTGTAGCAATTTAAAACTTAATGGTGGAAAATAAAAATATTATTCCTGTACACGTAGTAGTGGGCAGACACTAGAATTTCACTATTACTTGTACAGGTATGGACCCGGTGTACTCATTGTGCAGTTCTGCTCCAATTTTGAAGAAGAATACCTTGGAGAGTGTCCAAGGATCTCTCTCACCTCTTTTCCTATCCCAACCTTGCAAGAGGACTTTCAGCTCATGGTGTATTTTGAATGTCCCCTTGCTGCTTAGAAACTATACATTTACAAACATACACACATTCTCCCGGGATCCAAACCAGAGCACAGCAGTCATCATCACTAAGCGCTATACCAATTGGACAGTTATCATATTCCTGTAAAAATCTCTGCACTTAAGATTTTGTAAAAGCAGAATTTTAAATCTATTTATTATCTTTAAAAATATTTAATAATATTTTGATCAGCTTCACTGCATAACAAATTAATAATCATCAAACACACGATATCATGCCGATTTTACTTTAATTCAACATTTAGCGTCAGCAACCTTTTTCCTTTTTTTTTTTTTTTTTTAACAGCATTCATTTTTCTAAAAAGATTGTGCAATATTTTGATCAGCATCACTATTAACAGGTTAACAGCTCATTACATAGCAAGTCATATTTTAAGGTATTTCTCCCGCCATCCTAGCGTGGCTTCATGATGTGGTGGTCTGCACACTGGGCCGGTATTCCAGAGATCCGTGGTTCGATTCCCAGTGAAGGCATTGTTAATTTTTTATCTTTCCTGCTTCCAAAAAATACCTAATGTCTTTACAGTGGCACCCAAACTAAAAGGGTGTTGGATGATGATTCTCCTCACCCAGGATTTGGCGATTGGGTCCCCTAAAAACCCCAGTATCCCTTTAAAAGGGGGAGTATAAAAGGTATTTCTCCCGCCTTCCTAGAGTGCCTTCATGGTGTAGTGACTCTGCGTGCTGGGCCGGTATTCCAGAGGTCGGTGGTTTGATTCTCAGCGAAGACAACTGCTAATTTTTCATCTTGCCTGCTTCCAAAAAATACCTAATGTCTCTAAAATATAACCTTTTTTTTCCCATTAAAAATTTTACATCAGTATATAACTGCTCCACCCTCCCGTTTTTAAACACTGATTTCCATAACAGGTACATTTATCTCCAAAACTCAAAAAATCTTATCAGCTGAAGCAACATTTTAACAACATACAGGCCTATAAAGTGTTAATTCACAGAATACTTTTTTACTGATATATAAAATTTAATATTTCAACTTTCTATCAGTTCTTATGACTCAGATGAAAAGATAAATAAGGCTATGCCACATTATTAAAATAAATTACAGCAGAACACTTAGGTCTGTTTGTAGGAAGCAGCCCACCCACCTGACCACAAATGTAGTCACATAAGGTCTGTATAAGAAGTAGACACAAATCTTTATCAGATATAACACCAGGTCAGAAAACTTTTGACCTTGCAGAAGAATTAAAATCAACAGTTTTTTTCATAAAACCAGTGGTAAACCAAGGTTGATTATTATTTCATATATTGTAAAAAGCTATCTACCCCCCCCCCCAAAAAAAAAACTTGTTTCTCTAAGAAAAAGTGGCTTTTATTTATGTTATACACTCTATTCCAAAAAAAAAAAAAAAAAAAAAAAAAAAAAAAAAAAAAATTATACATCCAGAAAGAACTGAGCCACAATTGTAAAGACCTTATTTTATTCTGACCAATTATTTTTAGTTCAACTTTCCGTCCCATCCTGATTTCAGTTTCCTGACGGAATGTAAATTTTAATGATGTAGTATGCAAAATCTAAGTGTGTTCAAAAGCAGTATTTAAGCTGTGGTTCAAGAATTCTTGAGGAGCAGTAGCAGTGTTAGTTCTGAGTTTATGCTGTGTGTTTGAAATAGCTCTCTAGCTGGTGTTAGACACCCTTCACATTATATTGATATTCAGTGATCAGCATTCTGAGAATCAGCTCAGCTATTCTAGGCCTGGAATTCTAGGCTTGGCTGAGCCTAGAATCAGCCTAGCAGCAAGTCGTTTAGCCATCCTAATTTATTGCGATTTTACATTTTTATTTTCTGTTCAATTCAGTTTAGCCACAAGTGGTAGTGAATTGTGAGCACCGGGTGTGTGCATCTTGTTGTTAGTTCAAATAAAAAGGTTATTTAAATCTTCTTCTGTAGTATCTGTTCTTCAAGACATAACAAGAAATCTCTATGAGTCTTTTCTATGTAGGGTCTACTATGAATGCGACATAAGCTATGAAACATGGCTACACACAGTGTTCAAGCAGATAAAAAAATGATCAAAAACTGGGGCGAAAAAAGCGTTTTCTTCACGAATAGCAATATAAAGAATGTGAAAATCAGTAGGTGGTAAAAACACCCCTGGCAGCTATACAAGCTAATATTCAGTTGGGTATGGAGTTGTTGCCAATGTCCCACTGTAGTAG